ATGGAAAAGTGGGTTTTGTGTCTGCTGATGGCAGTAGCAGTAGCGTAGCGGTAACTGGAGTGTAAGTTAGGAAGGGTCAGGCAGAGATTCACAGAAACAGAGGAAGGAGAGAAAACAGGCCATCAGTTAGCAGGGCTGCTCTGCATACCTTTCTCCTGTGCTGACTTGCGGTAAAGACACAGCAGCTTTGAAGGCTCAGAACCTCTTCTTAGTCCAAAAGGCGGCTGAACCACAGCACAGGCCCTAGAGTTATTTGGGCAAGTTTTCAGAGCTGACCTTTCTGGTCCTTTTCTCCTTCCCTCCTTACTCACCAAGGACACCCCAACTTCCTTCAGCTGGTGAGCTCAAGCCTTGTCACCAAAGATCAAGTTCCTACAACTGAATCTGTCTCTGCGTTGGGTGTGTCAATTTTCACTTTTCTCCCAGTGTGTCTAAGCTTGACTTTTGAAAGCAGCATTCTTTTTTGGAGTGCACAGTATGTACAGAGGGTGTATGCCTTAGGAAGTCTTTCCTTAACACGTCTAGAAAAAACTGGGAGCCCTTTGGGTGAGCCCTGTTTGGCATTCCCAAGCAGATCAGACCTCCGTTCAGGTTCTTTGGCGGCCTGCAGCGTTCTTTGCAATTCTTTTCCTCCGAGGTCCACAGAGATCAAAGGGGCTTGTTCACAAAACACCAGACATTTGGAATAGGGTTTTTTTTAAAGTTTTTTTTTTAATTTAGCTATAAGCCAGTAGAGCTAGCTGAACTCCAGAACAACAAAGCCTTAACCAAATAGTGCGATTGTGAGGTGAGCTGAACAATTATTGAACTCAGCTTTCTCTGCAAGAGGGATTTCAGCTCGCTCCCAGTGGCACAAAAGGGGCCGAGGAGGGTAACCATTCTGTGTCGCTGGAAATCAAGAACTGGAGGTGGTGGAGGGGCAGTGTCCTGCAGCTGCGGTATCTTTTAGGCTTCCAAGAGCCCAGGCAGGCGAGGGAGCTTGGAGTCCCGCGGTTCCCACTGCCGCGTTGGAGTGAGCTACATGTAGTTAGGCTAGGCTCCGAGACCAGGAATGGAGTAGGTCAGTGCTAGAGACAGTCACAGACGTCTTTGCAGAGGTGGAGAAGATCTAGGGAGAGAGGAGACCTGCAGAACACAAAGGAGGACATTCCACCGAAGAATATCCCCGAATAAAAATTCCAGATCTCACCAGGCTCATCTCAAATGTCTGTACACACAAAATGACTTTATTTGCCAGAGCAGAGAAGAAAGCAGAGGCAGGCAAGATGAGGACTGCCCATAACATCATCCTAGAAATGAGTCCCAGTCTCGCCTCCCTTTTTCCCAGTTCACAGCCATAGGGACTCCCTACCTTTCTCCTGGCTTAGACTCCCGAAAGACTGAAATCCGGGGAAACCCCTAACTTGCAGCCCTCAGCCTCCAGGTCAGTGACTACACCCACTCAGGCCTCAGAAGCAGGCAGTAAATTCCTCTCCTATAATTAGCACCCCTGGAAAGCATGTTTCTAGTGGGGGTGGGCGGCTGGAGTGGCCAGTGGCAACTTTTCCCCCTTTATTCCTTTTCTAAGATTTTTAATGTTGTTTTTAAATCCAGTAATTACTGCTCCCAAAGCGAAAATCTGCTCTTGACACCAAGTCTCCTCTTAATGCCTAATTCAGAAAGTCGAAAGCCCACGCACAGTACGGCATAGACCGGGCAGGCGGGCAGACGGGCCTAATGGGGGGCTGTTCTGATTCTCTAAGCTTGTGTTTTGATGGAAACAAAGAATGGGAGTCTCCCTGCTTCCCAAGACTTGTGCATATTTACAGAGCTGCACTGCAGTTTTAATAAAACATCTGTTCTTGCTTCTGCTGATGAGCTTCCATAATTATTTTCAGACAAATTTAACAGGAAAATATAAATATATTTAGAAAAACTCAAGCCCCGGCCCCTCCCCCATAGACAGCCAGTCTTCCGCAAAGGGAGGAGAGAGCACAAGATGGGAGAAGGAAAAACTATTACCCAGTGGAGGGAAGATCAACTCATCTGATCTGCTCTCCCCCTTGTAGAGAATCCTCCATCCTCCGAGTAAATTTCAGCAGCATGATTAAAGGTCTAACTAAAAGAAATGGGATCTTTTCCTCATTTAGGAATAGAAAGGAATGCAAGAGAGTGTTTTGGGAGTTAATTTACCCCCCAAAGTCTTTAGATAATGGGAAGATATTTGATTTCTGCCTTCCCTGGTCTCCCCTTTCCAGCATTTCTGTCCCCCACCCCCGCCCCAGGCAGCTGGTTTCTGTTCATTTTAAATCGGCGAGACCTTTCAGTCTCTGCCTCTGTTTTGGGACGTAATAAAACACTTAACTTTTCCGGGCCTGAGACTTTACACTCTGCTCCTTGGGTCGCCCACCCCTGAGCCTACCACCTTTAGGCCCCAAAAGAGAATCTCCCCAACTTTGGGGCCCCTTTCATCTCTGGATATGATTGAGGGGGCTCTAGGAAACTCAGGCATCCTTGTTAGGGGACTGTAGCAATGTTTCCCTCAAAGTCCCTTCTTTCTTTTAAGGTCACTCCCTCCCCCAACTCATCCATAAAAGAGATTTAAAAATACACAAAAATCCACACTTATGGAAAACAAAACTTCATTAAGACATCCTATCTTCCATCATTCAATTTGTTTTACATTGCAACAATTTAATATCTTGAAGGAAGTACCACTGACATGATTTATCCCTCTCGCAATCTCATTCTGAAATAGGGAGGAAATTTACCCTTTCTTGCTGTGGCTTCTACTTGTTACACTGCTACCCTCGGGGTAGACAGGAGGCTGGGAACTTTGAAAAGAGGCTACTGGTGTCCAGGAGTGCACTGACTTGTTCCCTAGCTAAGCCCCAGGGTACCCTCCCCTCAGTTAGCTCTTTTCCTACCTCTTGCCCTCCAGGGGGACTGGAGACTCAGCCAGCTGTTGGAAACCTCTGCCCAGACATGCCATGAATTCAAGTACAGATGGATTGGAAAGCAAAAAGCAACACACTACTGTCTGGGTTTGGGGGAGCAACTGCTATGCTACCCCCAGATGAGATAACTTTTAAAATCCCTCTCTGCCTCCTCTTCTGCCTTCTTCATCTTGGAAAGAAAATAGTATAGTCCAAGGGATAGAAACTTCCATAATTACAGGGATTTTTCTTCTGCTCTCCTAAGTTCCAGCAGTTTCCCTCCTTTCCAAAGGCAGGGCTGGATTTTTAAAAAGCCAACACAAATTGTCTGGCAGGAAGACTCCTCAACTCCCTAAAGAGTTTCATGTATTAACTAACATTTTGTCTGCACTAGTTCCTACACACTGTCTGCTTTTAGGTTCTAAACTTTATTCCCGCCCCCCCCCCCCCCCCCCCCCCGTGACACTCCAGGGAAACCTTAACATTACAGAAGATGAAGTTTTTTCCTCAGCGTAGTCCCGTTTATGGCTTTATTGCTGCCCATTGATTACTCTGCTTTGTTACACAGAAGGAAAAGATCATAAAACCCAGCGACATCCGGGTTCTTGTTATAGTCAGGCTCAAAAAAAAAAAAATAGTGAGGGGGAAACCGTGAGTTTTCGTTGCTTCCTTCCTGTGCCTTGCCAGCCTCCCTTTGTCAGCTCCAAGTATTTCCAGCCTATGTCGGTATCAAATTCAGTTTGGATTAACCAGAGGGAAACCCCAGCTGCACACCTTCTGCTGTTTTGGTTCACTTTACTGCAGTTCCCTGAAGCCTTACAAACTGCTCTGTTGTAATCTCCTCCCTATGCTCAGCCTCAAGGTGGGGAGGAAAATGGAGGTAAGGGCTTCTGAGCACCTAGAGGTGACTGGCTGGGTGAGAACCCAGGTTCCCCAGGAGTCCTTTCCCAGGGTCTTCTAGCCTTACAGCTCAGGTCCAGGGCTCCACTCCTGAATCCAGAGCAGATAGGGTCTTGTGACCTGGGCAGTGGCTTGAGCCTGCTGGACGATAACTAACTGTTCATGGCAGTCCCTTCCTTGTTCAGGCTGCATAGTATGTGAACTACCCCACTGGCCTGAGCTTGTTCCAAATCATAAATTCTCACCAACATAAACAGGAGTTGATGTCTTTAGAAAGAATCTCAGAGGTTCTCTCTCTCTCTCTCTCTCTCTCTCTCTCTCTCTCTCTGTGTGTGTGTGTGTGTGTGTGTGTGTGTGTGTGTCTATGTATTATTATACATGTTTTCTTTTAAGTAAAAATGTTGCAGGAGTTTCCCCAAAAAGGGACCTGGGGAGGAGCAGTAGGCTGGGAGGCAGAAAAGAGTAGCTACTTACTTCAGGATCCCACTGTACCCCATGGTCTCACCCTTCAGATCAACTTGTCACCCTTCAGATGGACATATCCTCTAACCCAAGACTCAGCGACACTGTCTTCCTCTGTGTACCATGTTTCAGGAAATCTCCCTTTCCTTTTGATTTTTTTAATTATTGGAAAAATATGCTGTCTAGTGATGGGGCTCACTTCATGAGTGGCAAGCTAGAATGTCTTCTAGAATTTCTGAGAACTTCCTCCCACTGCGAAGGATCTCCTCAGATGAAGCAACCAGGATGTAATGTTAGAAAAGGGGCAAATGCAAAAGATGAAATCGAAGTGAAAACGCAAGGATTTCTCTCTATCTGCATTTGGCCAGAGCACAATAAAGTTAACTGGGGCAGAGATTTCCTTCCGCGGCAGGGTAGGGGCCCTGCTCACAGACCTGCACCCCACCAACACCAGTTCCCTTACATATATATTCTTAAAGGAAATCCAAGTCTTACTTTCAAAGCACACACTTAGTCTCAACTAGGGAATCAACAGAAGCAGAAGCGATTTTTTTCCCCCTTCTTGACATCTTGCTTGCGATTGGCTAGAAGGGGGTCAGCTGACTTTGTCATTTTGTCTGTCCTGGATTGGAGCCGTCCCTATAACCATCTAGTTCCGAGTACAAACTGGAGACAGAAATAAATATTAAAGAAATCATAGCCCGACCAGGTAAAGGCAAAGGGATGAATTCCTACTTCACTAACCCTTCCTTATCCTGCCACCTCGCCGGGGGCCAGGACGTCCTCCCCAACGTCGCCCTCAATTCCACCGCCTATGATCCAGTGAGGCATTTCTCGACCTATGGAGCAGCTGTAGCTCAGAACCGGATCTACTCGACTCCCTTCTATTCGCCACAGGAGAATGTCGTGTTCAGTTCCAGCCGGGGGCCGTATGACTATGGATCTAATTCCTTTTACCAGGAGAAAGACATGCTCTCAAACTGCAGACAAAACACCTTAGGACATAACACACAGACCTCAATGGCTCAGGATTTTAGTTCTGAGCAGGGCAGGACTGCGCCCCAGGACCAGAAAGCCAGTATCCAGATTTACCCCTGGATGCAGCGAATGAATTCGCACAGTGGTGAGTTTTACAGCTCCGAGATATAAATTAAATAAACTGAACTGGCTTTATGACCGGCTTCCCTAGAAGAACGGGCGGAGAGAGTTTTTTATGGCCCCATAAAAACAATCACGCTCGTCTCCTCGCCGACACCGAGACAGGGCCCCCTCTTCAGCCCCCTCTGCTCACCTCCGCTCTGGCTCGCAGGGGCCTGGCCCCCTCGGTCCCTGACGGATTGGAAGGCTCCAAGAAGAGCTGAGGGGGCAGGAACAGGGCAGGGATGAGGGGAGGGGACAGAGGGTGGGGAAGCCCCCCAAAGTCTCTTTAGGTTGGAGAGAAAGGGGGGAGTTAGGAGAGGGCAGAGAAGTGGGGAGAACTTTTCAGGGAACCAGGATTTTGGGGAAGGTGGGGGGAAACCCAGTCCTTGAAAGATGGGGCCCTTATCCCCAGTAGTTGGAATTAGAAAAAAAAATAGAAATTTAAAAAGAGAAAAAAAGAAAATTCAGCTTTTAGACATGCAGCCCCGCCCCCCCAGCTTTCTTTGGGACACACATCTCCCACCTCGTGGGAAGACTGAATGAAGTTGGGGTCCTGGCTGTACCCCCAGTGGGGGTGGGGCAGAGTAAAAGAGGGAAGGCTAGAGCTCGAAAAACCCGCGAGTTGTGGGTCAAGTAGAAAGAGTCTGGACTTTGCTAGGCGAAAATGTCTTCAGAGGAGGCCTTGTTGATTGTTTCTAGTGTGTTTTGTGCCCGGATCTCTAGGGGTCGGTTACGGAGCAGACCGGAGGCGCGGCCGCCAGATCTACTCCCGGTACCAGACCCTGGAACTGGAGAAGGAATTTCACTTCAACCGCTACCTAACCCGGCGCCGGCGCATCGAGATCGCCAATGCTCTGTGTCTGACCGAGCGACAGATCAAAATCTGGTTCCAGAACCGCCGGATGAAGTGGAAAAAAGAATCTAATCTCACATCCACGCTTTCGGGGGGCGGCGGAGGGGCAGCCGCCGACAGCCTGGGCGGGAAAGAGGAAAAGCGGGAGGACACAGAAGAGGAGAAGCAGAAAGAGTGACCAGGACCCTGCACCCCTCTCTCCTCCCTTGCTCCTCCCAGCTCCCCGAGTCACATACTCTGTATTTATCACTGGCACAATTGGTGTGTTGTGACTTCCTAAAAGAAAATAGGGAGTCAGACGTGGACCTGCAAGTCAGCTCTGGACCCCCTCCCGCACTGCACAACTCTTCACAGGCCTCCTCCTCTAGCTCCCCTCGCTAGCTCCTTCTCGGCTTATCTGCAGGCCCCTTCCCTTGCCCAGGCCTTGGGGACACTGTCCCTGAACCACGCTTCAGACTCTACTGACGTCCCTCCAATTGAGCCCTAGGCTCTCTCCTCACCTCGAGGCCCTGAACTCTCGCCCCAGCGCAGATAGCCGGCTCCTAGGCCTGGGGCCTCCACTCCATGGCCTCAGGGCCCGGCCTGGCAGCCGGAGGGCAGGGCGGGAGGCCTCAGGAGGGCGCGCCTTGGCCCTACAACATCCCCCACCTCCACCCCGGGCTTCTCCCCAGTTCCTGCACAACCCCTCTGCCCCAGCAAATGCCCAGTCCAGGCAAATTGTATTTAAAGATTTCTGGGGGTCATTATGGCATATTACGAACTGTGACCGTTTCTGTGTGAATATTTCTAGCTGTATTTGTGGTCTCTGTATTTATATTTATGTTTAGTACCGTCAGTGTTCCGATTTCATTTTTAAAAGGATTAAAAAAAGAGGGAAAATAGCAAAAAGAGAAAAAAAAGTGAAAAGTGAATGACGTTTGTTTAGCCAGTAGGAGAAAAGAAAAAAGAAAGAAAGAAAGAAACCCCCTCGTGTTATCCTTCTGTATAAATCCGACCTCTGGATCCGTTCTCGAATATTTAATAAAACTGATATTATTTTTAAAAGTTTATAATCCGCCTGTCTGTTCATTCACCCGCCAGCGGGCCTGCAGCAGAGCTCCCCACGGCCTGCCGCCAGCCCTCCACACTCGCCTGCCCCGCAGCCGGGCGCCGAGCCTCGGTCTCTGGGTTCTCCTGGCTGTGCTGGGGTGCTGAGAGGCCTCTGGGACCTCCCCTACGAGGAGCAACACACACCCCGGAAAAGAAAAGGAGGAAAAAGGGCCTCTTGGACTTTCGCTGGGGGCGGGGAAGCCTGAGTGAGCCGGTTGGGCTGCAAGCCCCACGCGGGCCTTTCTTCCCGCCTGTAGGAGCCAGGAATCCTCGGCTTCTGAGCCCTAAGCCCTAAAGGCGAGAAAAGGAGCCTGATCCGAGCACCAGGTCGCGCCCCCTCCATCCCTCCTGACAGCAGCGTCAGAAGGAGGACCTGCAAGCAAGCCCCCAGCCCGCCAGGCCAGGCCGGCTGTTGCAAAACGTGGCTGAAGCGCCCTGGCAGCCAAGGACTGAGGTATTGGAGTCAGTCCGCAGGGACTGAACACTGATCCAAAGACATCTCGAAAGATAAAGAGTGGAAACTGAGTTCTGGCCTATGCTGGAACTCCTGACCCGCCAGACAAAATTCCTTCTTCATTCCAGCCCTAGCCTATCTTGTTCTTGCTTCTTTTGTGTGTGTGTGGGGGGGAGAGGGGTGGCAGCAGGACCCTAACTGTTTCTTTCCCCAAGCCTCGCCAGAGACATCTGAGTGAGCCTAAAGGGAGAGGTGGGGGTGGGAGGTCTCCCGGAGGGGAAAAAAATCCTCCTGAGTTTTGCAGACTCTCCACTTCCCTGCCACCGCCCTCACCCCCCAGCCTCCACCAGCGGGGAGGGGCATTTCTGGCTGAGCCAGAGAGATTCTGGGGAAAAGCAGACAGCAAAGAGCAAGATTTGGGATTAAGAGAGCAGGGGAAAGGAACCAAAGACTGAAGAAACCCTGGCCAAAGACTGTCTAGGTTGCCCAGTCATCTGGACTGCCCACCCTGTGCCTCTGAAGAGTCCAGAAAATTTCTAGGGGCCTTCTAGATTGAGGTTGCTGAGAAACCTGGTCTAAGGGCCTACTCTTAAAAGATTACAAGCAGGTCATTATCTGTGCCTTTCTCGTAATATTTGTAGCGGTTTGAATCATGCTCTCCAGGCCCTAGAGGGTCATCTGTTTGCTGTCTGAAATTCTGGGCATCAGTACCCACAAGGATCACAGCTGTAGGAGGGTCCTCCAGCCCACTGTGTCTGCTTACACACATGGAAATGGTACCTCTTACCCCTATAGGGTTCCTAACTTAGTGAAGTCAACCCAAGTCCATCTGGTCCCTCTGATCATATCCCAGAGTCCTCAGGACCCTCAGCCTCAGAACTTCTCTGGCAGCTTCTGCTCACTCAGGAGCCCTCCCTCCATCCTGCCTACCTCCCAGAGGCTGAGTTCATTTTTCCAAGCTGAGAAGACAAACTCCTATTCAGCAGAGCTTAGCCCAACCCTCCCAAGAGAGAGCTCTGGATCTTTAGTGTAGGGAACCTAAGTACACCCTCTTGGTTCTCTAGCCTAGACTTTAGCTACCCCAACCCCCTTTCTCAGTCATCTTTGCCGTTTGGAAGTCTCTGGGGTCAGGGAACTGGCACTACCCATTATAAAACCACCTGTGTAAATCCTAAATAAGGCCTCATCTTTTCTCAAATTTAGGCAAAATTTTAAGGCCAGCTCAAGGGTTAGTTTGTCCAACAAGCAACTTCTCTACAATCCAGCTGCCAAGAGAAGCTTCAGGATGCAATTCCTCCAAGTAAGCACCAGGTGTCGCTGTGAGCTCGTTGTCCCGACCACCCCCCAATTCCAAGCACCATTTTTTTTCTCCCCCTTGCTTCCCTTTTTCCCTCACTCTCCACCCCCCCCCACCCACACACCCGGGTTGGGCTTTGCCAACATATCAAGATGCGTTTCGCCCGCTTCCATCACTAACCTCCCGGAGGTCATCAAGCCAAATTTATGAGTGGCCGCTCCAGTCACGTGACTCTATTTAAGGCTCCCTTATTTGGGAAGAGCGCATAGGATAAAGAAAGAGATATCTCCACCTATAAATTGTGCACTTTGGAGAACAAAAAAACCCTCAACTTCAAAGAGTCACAAATCACCCTTAATCAAAAGGGTGCAGAAATTTTTTTGGGCCCTCCCCGCCATGAGCTCCTACGTAGCCAATTCATTCTATAAGCAGAGCCCCAATATCCCTGCCTATAACATGCAAACTTGTGGGAACTATGGATCGGCCTCAGAGGTGCAGGCATCCAGGTACTGCTACGGCGGATTGGACTTAAGCATCACTTTCCCACCGCCTGCGCCTTCCAACTCTCTCCACGGGGTAGACATGGCTGCCAACCCCCGGGCTCACCCCGACCGCCCCGCCTGCAACGCCGCGGCCGCTCCGGGACACGCTCTGGGCAGAGACGAAGCGGCTCCTCTGAACCCCGGGATGTACAGTCAGAAGGCGGCTCGCCCGGCGCTGGAGGAGCGAGCTAAGAGCAGTGGGGAGATCAAAGAGGAGCAGGCGCAGACAGGGCAGCCCTCCGGACTGAGCCAGCCACCGGCCCCGCCACAGATTTACCCGTGGATGACCAAACTGCACATGAGCCACGGTAAACTTTAGGACTTCATTTTGCGCGCTCGGGTTCGCCTGGGTTTTATAGGCCATGCGGGGCAAATAAAGAAAAAAAACCTGCGGCCATAAATTTTACGATTCAGGCATCAATGGCTCGTAAAACTGTCCACTAAAAGGCTTAGAGGCTGTGTGCGCCCAAATTTACGACGACATAATTGGATCATAGGAACAAAACGTGTATAAAAGGCAATATTCAATTTTTGGGGGAGAGGGAGGGAGTTAAAAAAATAGAGGGATCCAAAGGGTGAGGAGCGCGGGGCTTCAGAGTGGGGATCCCCCCGCGGGCTCCCTCCCTCCCCTGCGGAGCCCGGCCGGCCGGTGCTCGCGGCTCTGGAGGATTCCAGCGACTCGGGAGGGGCGGGAGGGGGGTCCCCGGTGCTCGGATCTCGAGGGTGTTTATTGTTCGGTCCGAGCCTGGGTCTCCCTCTTCCCCCCACCCCCCCCTCAGCCCCTCCGGCCGCAGAGTGAAGGCTGCGGTGGAAAGTTTACTGCCCAGGCGGAGGCGCTTCTCCCGAGGTTGGGCCTGTCCGCCTAAGGCCCTTCTGGCCTGTCCCACCGCGCTCACCTCCACCCCCTCCGACCACGGTGGGAAACTGCGACTGGGGTGGGACGCTGAAGTGTTGCTCAGTATTCAACCCTTCCTGGCTTGGGGGGATTTATGTTCCAGAGACGGATGGCAAGCGGTCCCGAACCAGTTACACGCGCTACCAGACCCTGGAACTCGAGAAAGAATTCCATTTTAACCGCTACCTCACTCGCCGCAGGCGCATAGAAATCGCCAACAACTTATGTCTCAACGAGAGACAGATCAAGATCTGGTTCCAGAACCGCAGGATGAAGTGGAAGAAAGATTCCAAAATGAAGAGCAAAGAGGCTCTTTAGAGGAAGAAGGAGCCCTCAGAGAGCACCCCGGTCGGCTTTTGATCCCTGCTTCCTTCCTTTTCGGTTTTTATCGTTCTAGATTTTGGGGCGGAGGCTGGAGCATTGGCTCCAGGCCTCCAAACAAAAGCGCATTTCCTTGGCATTCCGAATCCCCATCGACCCAGGGTTCCGCAGGGCCGCCTGCTCTGCCCATTTCTCCTCGGCTCAGCTGAACACCCCAGGCCCAGGACACACTCGTGTAGGGTTTTCCCGAGGGCTGCAGGCTACAGCGGGCCAGTGCTGGATGAACCTCAACCTGGGCTGCCCCTCTGGCTCCTAGCCCGGGCGAGGCCAGCCTGAGTTAAGGTGAGACAGACCGGCCGCAACCCCTTTCCCGACCTCCACCTCACCCTCTTCTTTGTTCCTGCTGGCCAGGCCGCTGAAGGCTGCTTGTGCCAGGCAGAGGTATGACCAGACTCGGGGTGCCAGGCAGAGGTATGACCAGACTCGGGGCCCTTTTCTATAGCAACTAACCTTTATAGCTTCTAAACTCGTTCTTACTTATTAATGATTTGCATATGAAAGGGGGAGATGAATGAAAGTG